GTCAAGCCTGAGCTGAAGAGATGCTGTAACTGTTTTTTTTTTTTTTTTTTTGGTTTTTCGAGACAGGGTTTCTCTGTATAGCCCTGGCTGTCCTGGAACTCAGTCTGTAGACCAGGCTGGCCTCGAACTCAGAAATCCGACTGCCTCTGCCTCCCAAGTGCTGGGATTAAAGGCGTGCGCCACCACCGCCCGGCTGATGCTGTAACTGTTATCACTGTTATGGAGAGGCCGACTCGACCGGAGAGCTATGGGAAAGTACCCAGAGGACAAGACAGTATCTGGTGAAAGAGAAGCTACAAGTTCTGTTCCTAAAAAGCAACTGCATACTGAAGCCACTGCTAATGTGATTCTCTCCCAGGCTGGCAGCCAGACGCGATCATGTCATCCACAGGGTACTGTCTGCGGGGATGTAAAAGATGCGAGAGGGAGGAGGTCGTGAGTTCTTCCTCCTGAGAGCCACTGAGCCCAGGCAGTGTGTGATTGTGCTGGAGCCGATGCAAGAAGGCCCTGGGAGGCAAGGAGGATCCGGGAGGCCTTTTGTGAAGCTCTGAAGGTGAAGGCTCAGTTGAGGTGGAGACTCCAAGATATTTAAGATGTCAGAGCTGTGAAATAGCTGCCAAAGAGAACTTCCTAGAGGGGGTAGAACCAGGCTAAGCAAGATGTGTGTTGTACAATTAAAAGCTGGATGAGGCAAGCCATCTAAAGCCCTTTGGAATTAAAGATGCTGGCCCTGGAGGTATAGGGTTTTGGATTCTCACGGCTGGAATTTAGTTTTGCTTTGGTTCTGTATTTTCTTACTATACTGTTCCTCACTTTTGGGACAGTAGGGTATATTCTGTGCCACTGTATCTTGACAGTACACGGCACGTAGTTTGCTTTTTTATTTTATCAGGGGTTATATACACTTAAGAGACTACTGTTAAAGAGTGTTGAGACTGAAATAGAGTATACGGTCTTTTGAAATTGGGCTACGTGTATTTTGTATATGACATGACCTTGTGCCTATAGGGGCTGGGAGTAGAATGTGGTGGAATTCTAGCAGATACAGATCATTGTATCTAAGGCAAACTTTATAATGAAATAGTTGTTTTTTAAAGGCCCTTTGACCTTGAAGAAACCAATGCAGAGAACAGTGATTGTTTTCTGTTACGTTGTTTTTCTGAAGGAGCTTACAGCCTTTGCAGGACTTTGGTCACATGACGGTCCTGGCACACCTGGAATGTCTTGCATTATTGAGTGCTGCAGACGGTGCACTGCAAGGACTAAGTTGCAGGGCCGTGATGTCTTCCTTCAGGAGATGTATAGATTAGACCAAGGGCTTTTGTATGAGGAACTTGTTTTACCCAAAAGACTTTTGTGTAATAATAAATATGCTTCTGGGCAGTTGCTTGAGGTTCAGTCCAAAGAGGCTGAATCTCTCTGCTGCCAGCAAGGCCTTAATTCATCCTTGAATGATCCTCTTTCTTCAATCATCCAGCATAAGCCAGATCACTGATAGAAATGTCTCTTATGTGCTCACATATTTGAACGCTTAGTCCCCAGGCGGTGGCACCATTTGTGGTGGTTATGAGGGGAGGTTCAGCCTTTGGAGGAAGTAGCTCATTGACATTTTAAAGCCTTGCCATACTTCCTATTTGCTTTCTTTGTGTTTGAACAAGGTGAAGAAATAATCTCTTGCCTTCCTGTGTAGACTTACTCACTGGTTGCTACATCTACCCCTGGCATTACGAACTCACTCTCCTATGGGAACTGTAAGCCAAAATAAAATTTCTCTTGTGGAAGTTGCTTTTGGTCGTGATGTTGTAACATATATACAGAGAAGTAACTGCTACAGAATTGGTACCAGGAGTGGGGCGCTACTGTGATATGCCCGACTGTATTGATTTGGGGAAGCATTTGGTCTGGACAAGCTATTGGGTTCTGAGAGCTTAGTGAGCCGATCTTTACTGTTTTCAGTGACATGAAAGCTGCAGAATTGAAGGGGATGTGGAAAATTGGTGCTATGAGAGGTGAGAAGCCTCTGGTGAAGATGCATTCTCAACTTCATGGAAACTGCATGATCAGAGAGATGGTTGAGAGATCCTGAAGCATGAAATCATGCATCATGGCTGGCCTTGTATCAGAGAGTCCAGGAGGCTGTTGGTGAAGGCACAGCCTTAGTTGCAGTGGAGACACCAACATGTTGGACATGGTAGGCTCATGGGGGTGACCACCAAAGATGGCAACAGGTGTGAAATGGAGGCTCGAGCCTACAAAAGAGAGTATGTTGCAGGCAATGGTCAGAGAAATGAAGCAGCTCAAGCACATTTGAGCCTAGAAGATCATGAGTGGGTCCCATATGTTAGACACTGAGGTATTTGCATGGTTGGAGTTTCGTTGTCAGGAGCTGATTACAATTCCCGTCACCTCTATATTTGCCCCTCCTCCTTCAACCACTTTTTTTTTTTCCACTTTTTGTCTGCTTCCTCTATGACCAGACAGAAGGTCAAACATAGATGGAGGCTGCCCATACTGGTCTTGACAATACCAGGTTGTCTTAGTTAGGGTTTTACTGCTATGAACAGATACCATGACCAATGCAAGTCTAATAAGGACAACATTTAATTGGGGCTGGCTTACAGGTTCAGGGATTCAGTTTATTATCATCAAGGCAGGAACATGGCAGCATCTGGCAGGTATGCTGCAGGAGTTGCTGAGAGTTCTACATCTTCATTTGAAGGTTGCTAGTGGAATGTTGGCTTCCAGGCAGCTAGAATGAGAGTCTTAAAGTCCATACCTACAGTGACTCACCTACTCCAACAAGGTCACACCTCCAAATAGTGCCACTCCCTGGGCCAAGCATATGCAAACCATCACACAGGTACTACATGTGTATCCTCACTCTGAGTTCCTATTCTATTGAAAAAATATGGGGCCCTTCATCTCTATATTGTGAAGCCATGGGATCCCAGGTGGGAAATGAGTTTTATTGGTAAGCACTACCATTTCCTCAACACCCGGTGAACGTGATTTAAACATAACCCAATTACTCCACCTCTGGAGATAGAAGAGACAGAGGAGGAGAATAAACATTCCTCCAAGGTTGTAGCCTTTCTACCATCTCCTCTCCTTTATAGTCAAACATATTTTACCCCTTGCTTCAGACTTTGATCTTAGCATAACAGCTCCTTAATGCCCGCCTTGAGTGACTTATGCCAGCAGCTCTGTCATCATTAGCAGCCAATGTGACACGTTTCCACTGTCACTATAGTCATGTATTTACTCTATGTGCTTACTCCATATACCTCATAAAGCCTGGCGCCATCACGGCCTGCTGTCTTTTTTTTTTCTTTTCATCTCTGCTCAAAGGTGGCCCTTCACACACCCCTGCACCAATAAACCTCTCTTCTGAGGTCTGTTGCATGGTGTCATCACACGGCACTCCTTGGCTCTCTGTTCAGGGCAAAACACGATACCAAGCACTGAAACTTTTGAAACCAGGAGCCAAGATAACCTTGCTTCTTTTTGCATGGATTTCCTCGGGTATTTTGTCACAGCTGTGGAAAGTTAGTAATAGAGCCAGAACCCATTCTAGGCACAGAAAGAAAAGGAAGAAGGGAGGGGAACCTGCAGACAGGGAGAAAGAGACAGTTGCACACTGGGAATCTTGACATCAGCAGCAGAGGGATTTGAACACCATGTAAGAGTGGGTAGGCCAGGGATTTTCAAACAGGGTCAGAAAGGATTGCTCAAAATGCCCTGGTTTCTCTCCGGGCACCATGGGTCTGCCAAAATCCCAGTGTCTCCCTTATCTACAGTTTGTGTTGAAAGGTGGAAACTGTGGTGTGGAGCCCTAGGGATCTCCCATACAGGCCCAGTAGGGTGTGGTGACGCAGTTACGTTTAATTAATTGTTAAAGAAGTAAATCCCAGTGAGGGTTACCTCCTGTCTCAATGGTTTATGCTCCCAAATGAAACACACACACAGCCCTTACATTTTAACACGCCTTAAGGAGCACACTAGCTGGGTGACTGCCTAGCCTCCACGCTGTTAGAATCTACCTCCACTGATAATTCTTATTACTTACTAACTTCTATGTTCCATCTTGGTCGCTCTGAGCCCATTTGTGCAGTCCCGTGGGCCAGGCTTTCTTGGCCCAGAGTCCAGGGTGCTCTCCTTCCCTACCTCATGACAGCTTCATATCTCTCCTCTGCCTCACTCTCCTAAAGCATGGCCTGTCTCCTTCTCCTCTCAGTCCAAATCTGGGAATCCTAAAATCCCACCCCTATCTGTCCTCGCCATCTGTTAGCTGTTGGCGTCTTTATTTACCAACCAGACCCAACTTGGGGGCAGGTTCCCAGAAGCTATGTGCAGACCCTCTCCTGCAAGCAGTTTTTGGGGAAAACATAATTAGCATTTGTAATACAAGCAGCTACTCAGTTAGGTTTACAGGGCAGCTCAGTGCTAAGCCAGTCATTCTCAGGTTGGCCAAGCTTGAGCTAATGGAGGCTGAAGCAAGCCCACAAGGACTGTGGGGTTATCAGGCAAGCGGTGGGCTTAGAGTATGGATGTGTAATATTAGGTTGACTGCTGACCCTTGCAGAAGAGGTCACTGACATGTCAGACTTCAGGGACCCTCACGGTTCACTGTTAAACTCTCTAGAAGCTTTACCTTGGGCTTGCAAGATGCCCCTCATGCCAAAGCTGGGGCTTGCTCCGGGAGCACAGGATGCTGCAGCTACATGGTGAGGGTTTGGCCTGATACAGTGGCTCATTCTCCTAAGAGAACACGTAACCTCAGGGGCCAGAGGTGGGCCTAAGGGACAAAGACAGTGAAATTCACCTGCCTAGGGGCAGTGACTTGGGTCTTATGTTGATAGACCAGCTCCCTGGCTATCTCACTGTCTCTGCCTAGGGAGGATGTAGCCTTCCAAGACTGAGCAGCTAGAAGCCCCTTCTTCAGAGTATTGCTCTGGAGTGGTGTTGATGGGCCAGAAAAAAAAGTCAGAAGTTTCTTTAGTTTTTGGTTTTATTGTTCATTCTTTGTTTTGCCTGACCCAGGGCAAGTGTGGCCTCAGATGGACAGGGGAGCCCACAGATGGAGACGGGGGGACAGTGTTCAGTGAGGTGGCTCACAGGATATACTGACTGTCCAAGGTCCTGTGACTCTGTCACAGATCTCTGAGCTAAATCAACTGTTGCAGGAGGACCTGGGAGAGCAGCAGGGCTGTGCAGACCGTCAGCTTGATGACAGCATTGTTATTGTCCTCAGGATTTTCATTCCCAGGGGGTTCTGGATTTTTCGGGGGTCTCTGATTGTGAGGGGGGCGATTGGACTGTCCTGGTTTTGAGTTGGATGATGTTTTCTTGTTATCTTTAATCCACTTGTCAAAGTAGGAGACCCTGGCGAAGACACTGGGGGTGGCGAGTGGGTCTTCACATGTGGCGCTCCAGCTGGTCAGCCCTATCAGGTACCAGGAGCCTTCTAGTAAACAGACGAGGGGGCCCCCAGAATCTCCCTGAGAAGAAAGAGGACATGAATAGTGATCTGGGGAGGGACAGACGCTGACTAGAATGGAGAGAGTACAATGTATGCCAGCGGTCTCTGCTGTCTGTGTACCCCATCAGGGCCATTTAAGCAATTAAAAAAAAAAGCCAAGCACAGGTAGCCCCTTGGGTCAGTATCTTCAGCAAAGGCCCTGGAGTCCTATTCCACAAAACTGCCAAGAGGACCCTGGACACCATTTGGTGGAGAATTTTGGATCAGGATATCTGCTCTCTGCCCTGCTATCTGGGTGGGAGATGTCTCTGAAGTCCCAAGGGGTTGGTAATTGATTAATTGGCCTGAATCTCTGAAGTCTTAAGGGGTTGGTAATTGACTAATTGACCTGGAGGCACGGCCTGTAATCTTTGGCTGAATCTCTTGTCCCCAGCAGAGCACCCCACATGTACGTTTGTGTTTTGTTTAATAACATTACTGGGGAATCTTCAGTTCCTTGACAGAGCATCTTTTAGAAGATGTTGAACTGTAGGATGTGCTGAGCACCCCCACCCCCCAAAAAAAAGCCATAGCCGTGGTCCATCCAGGGTGGGACCATGGGGAGTTGTGAGGCACCAGGAGAGAGGTGAGGACTCCAAACACAGCAGGGACTTGAGATGGGAAGGTCCCTGGGATCATAGGTAGAAACATTCTTATCTCATAGGCCAAAAAGCAGGATCAGGAAGAAGCAAACAAACCAAAACCAAAACCAAAACCAAAAATAAAATAAAATAAAATAAAATAAAATAAAATAAAATAAAATAAAATAAAATAAAATAAAATAAAATAAAACCCAAACCACAGTTCCTACCAACCTTGTGCTACTACAACACACGTTAAAACAGTCTTTGTTCACAGAGTGCTCAGGAGACATGATGGATTGTGAGGCACACACTGGAAGACCCTACATAGGGTTAGTGGGCTGCACAGATGACAGAAGAACCCTCAAGGGTTCTTCTGCACAAACCAGGCCCTGAGAAGGCTTCTCTCAGCCAAGACTAGATAGAATTGTTGAGGCTCTACTGTGGCAAGTTACGAGCAGAGACACAGGTATTCAGCCAGGGAAGCTAGCGGCCCCTGGTGAAGCTTCTGGAGCCGCTTCTGCAGACAGGGCTGCAGGCCTGGCCTAGGCGGGGTATAGTAAAAGGGATGATTAGGCAGTCGGTAGGTGAAGCCACTCACCACATAGGATTGGCCCTTTCTTTATATTGTAAATGTATAGAGATGAGTTCAATCTCCAGAAATCGAAATGTAGAGAGAAACAACTACTACAAGGTGCCCACTGATCTTCACATGTGTCCGGCAAAGCAAGCTGGGTGTTACATACATGCAATCCTGTTTCTCCAGAGGCAGAGACACAAGGATAACAAGACCAACCTGAGCTACACAGTAAGATCATTTCTAGACAGACAGATAGACGATAGATAAATAGACAGACAGATAGGTGATTACATGACAGATAGATAGATGATATATGGTAGACAGACAGACAGATAGATGACAGATAGATAAATAAACAGACAGATGATAGGTAGATAGAAAGATAGATGATAGATGGTAGATAGATAGATGACAGATATAGATGATTAGGTGACAGACAGATGATCAATGGTAGATACATAGACAGATAGACAGACATATAGATGATTAGATAGACAGATGATAGAAAGACAGACAGATAGACCGTATATATAAATACCTAAGTAGATTCTATACAAACAAAACCAGCGTCAACACCACAAATTCAAGGCAAGAACAGGAGGATAGATTGTGGGTGCTGGTGTTTGGAAGAGGAATCAAAGGAGCAAAGGAGAATCTGCTGAGAGGCAGCATGAGATGGACCAGGCTAACTGAGGGTTAGGATTGTTAAGGACACATGCTGACACTGTAGGGTGAGCCTGCCTGGGAAGGAGGCATTGAGAATTACTGGGCATTCTTGAGGAACAGCAAAGGTACACGTAAGATGTGAAGTCATAGGTTTCTGAGCTCAGAGGACAGCCAAGGGAAGAGAATGAGAGAGACTGAGCAAGTGGAGGCCACATGAGACACTTCTGGTTGCCCACTTCCTCTCCAGTATCGGTTCCCCCACCATGTAATGTAAACTATACAGACTGCACGCCAACAGACTAGTGATGTGTTCATGCCCCAAACCTAGGAGCTCCTATGAATCATCATGAAAGACACCTGATCCCACTGGTGGCAACACAGCCTTACGAGTTAATCTGAAAAATAAACAAAAACATTTCCACCTTCATTAGTCACCAGAAACATGCAGATGAAAAATCACACAAACCCAGGCAGTGGTGGCACACGCCTTTAGTCTCAGCACTCGGGAGGCAGAGGCAGGCGGAGCTCTGTGAGATAGAGGCCAGCCTGGTCTACAGAGCGAATTCCGGGGCAGCCAGGGCTACACACTCCAAAACATAAAAACACGAAACCAGAAAGAAAGAGAGAAAGAAAGATCATATCCAACGGCGACATGAAATGGGCATATGACCCGAATAACTGCTGCAGTGTGGAACAACCTAACCTCTTGCTGCTGGTGGGAGTGCAGATCTATGGGAGAGATGCCTGCAGTACATGCAAGACGTGAACACATGCATAGCTCATGCCACAGTGATTCTCCGGCTGGCATGATGGCCCCTCTAGCATGCATGTTCAGGACAGTGCCGTGGCAAAGACCTTTCTTAGAAACTGTCAAATGCCGCTAGGGTAAGAATTAAAAAGGAAGAGTGTAGTGTATCCTGATAGTGGCATGGCTGGATAGCATCCTGTTGGCTAGAAAGCAATCTGGGCAAAAGCCTTGTACCCAGTATGATGCGTGTTTAGGAAAAGTCTCAGTGTGGAGTCATAGCTCTTCTAAAGCTAAGACAGGACCATTCTAGGAATGAGGGAAAGAGAAGGGGTATGAGGGAGTGCTTTGGGTGCTGTTTAGAGCAGTGTATTAATTTCTTATTTTTAATGAAATGTTATTCATCCATTTTACATGCGTGTGCACACGTGCACTTGTGTATGTGAGCATATGTGTGTGCAATGAACGCGGAACTCAGAGGGCTACTTGCAGGGGTTGGTTCTCTCTACCATGTAGGTCAAGTGGTAGATTAAATTCACCCGTTAGGCTTGGGGGAGAAGGGTCTTTACCTACTCAGACATCTCATGGACCCACTGACTTAATTTCTAAAAAATCCCTCAGGCAGTACAAGGGATGACCAATTCCAAAGACACAAACGCATGGAGGAGACAAGGTCTGGAGAAGACACAGAAGGAGAGGGGCCGAGACAGCACAAGGGTACAAGGGTGGCGAACTCGTTTCAGCCACCTGAGCAGGTGGCACTTACTGCACAGATGGATTTTGTCATGTTGTAGTCAGCAGCACACACCATGTCGTCATATATGTAGTACTCTCTATGAGATCCCGGAGATGGCGGTGGGAAAAATCCTTTACACTGGTCATTGGTCATGAGGATGAGCTTGGCTTCATACAGCTTACTAGGCAAAGGAAGTCGCACTGTGAGAGGGGAATCAGGTATGAGACACAGCTGAGGGAGGATGCCCCTTGCCCCCCGGCCCCTAGTTCCCCTTTCCAGGATGATCGCTGGCTGGGGTTGAGGGGAAGCTGTTCTAGGCCATAGCAGCGGGGAGGGACTCACAACAGACACTCACTGACCAAGGGGTATGGCAGCAAGGGTAAGCATGAGGCTCTGTGGAAGGCAGGAGACAGTCATGGCGACTGCACAGGTCCTAGTCTGGGGGCCGAAGAACACTAGGTACAACCACAGTAGGGCCCCAGGCAGAGCCTCCTCACCAGGCAAGGGGACCAACACTACACCCTGAGGACACACAAGCCAAGGAAGGGGCTCAGCTTTCAAACAACTCTGGCTGGTCTTTGGGGCCCCAGCTGGAGGCAGGGACACTGGAGCCTGAGTGCAGCAGTGGTCTAGGACACAGGCCAGAAGCACTTAGGAGAGTGACAAGAGGACTGGCCAATCTGAAGGAGCAACTGGGGCCTGGAGAAATGGATTCTGTTTCCAGGTGCTCTCAAAGATCTAGCCTGGGGTTGTCCCATGGGAGCAGAGGGACAGCAGCATGGTTCACTGCACTCAGGGGCCATGGCACACATCCCTCAAGGGTGCCCAGGGGTTGCCTGTAGGTAGCAAACTCAAATCTGTCCCCAGACCCAGCAGCTGTGGTCAGGAGAGGTCACGACAGGATGGATGAAGGTCCAGACTCTTAGGGAGGCCAGGTGCTCTGTTCTGAGAGCTGGCCGCACCCACACCTTCCCCTCTGGGTTTCCACTCTCATCCCCTGGCCTGACCTGGAGACCCTGTCTGCCCTGACACAGCCCTTAGAGTGTGATAGTGCATCTCTTCTAATGCCTCTGACCCCCTGCTCTGGTGACTAGCCTGTAAGGCTGACACTGAGAGGCTAGGGGAAGGGAGGGAGGCCCTAGCCCCGACCTCACAGGAGCTCCTGCCTCCAACTGCCTTGTTGCTTTGCCAGACTGTGACCCTAAATCTCATGTCAAATTTACATTCTCTTCTGTGTAACTTGCCATTATTTTGTCTTAGATCAAAAGCATTTAGCCTTGTGTGGAAATCCTTTGCCAGGAGTTCTGTGCTCTCAATCTAAATGTATAGACTTGTCCCTTGCTGTCAGCAGGCTCTTCCTGTGGTCCACGATACCAGAGTCCACAGACACTGAGTGCCCTCTGCATGGTGTGTGCAGAGAGCCTGTGTATTATCTTCCTGGACACTTGACACCGTGTCTGGATGACAGAATGTCTGACACGAGGCAAGTGTGATAGAGACAGTCACAATCACGTGGTGCTCAGAGAATAAGGACAAGGAGAATGTCACTCCCCAACACTAAGGCTTTTGGTGCCCAGGTGACTGGATCCGTGGATTTGGAACCACGTGTATTCGGGACCACTTGTAAAAGCTGGTACAACAGGCTTCCTTGCTTTTAGGGATGGGCAGTGAGGTTCAGAGAGGTGACTGTTCCCCAGATGAACACCTCAACCTGTCCCATGCCAGGGAGAGAAGGTTGCTCTCATCTTCTCAAGGATACCCGGTGTCTTTCCTAATCAGGGGAGAGCCTTGCAGTGTCAGAGGTCAACTGTGCTTAGCGCTCTGGAGTCAGAGAGCCTCACTTCTGATCTGAAAGGGGGGAGGTTTGCTTTTGAACCAGAAACTGGGGTTCGCAAGCACTGGAAAGGCCTCCAGGCTCGTGCCCCTCCCCCTCCTACCTTTCCCCTGTGCTCACCATCCTCTCTGAGATGCCCCCAGCCACTTATCCAGCAGGCCTTATCGTCGGGAATGTTCATGTTTTTCTCAGGGAGACAGGCTGGGAGGATGTGGGAGCTGTACTCCACAGAGGAACGCAGCTGCAGGAGGACGATGTCACTTCCTTGGCGGTGGAATCTGTCGTAGTCCTTGTGAACGATGACCGTCTGCACTGACATCTCCCTGCTATACCTGGTGGGATTGTTCATATCGGTGTACCCTAGTCTGATCTTGTAGTCCCTTGGGTTTCGAGACCTAGTGCAGGAGGAGGAGGAGGAGGAGGAGGAAGAGGAGGAGGAGGAGGAGGAGGAGGAGGAGGAGGACCTGTAAGTGTTGGGCCAGTGCTGTCTCCCTGACTGTCCTCCCACCCTGCAGGCCACCAGATCCTCTGTCTTCATTTCAAGTGTCTCCTCCTTTTCCTAATACATGGGTGTTTTCCTTCTTGAGGGGCAGAATGATCCCACACAGCTGAGGATACTGAAGGCTTCGGATACCCTAGAATCCGAAGGGCTGTCAATCTCATGATTGGGTAGGACCAAACTGCACCCTTTCCACTGGGAGGAGGAAACTCTCACTCAACCCTGCCCAGATCTGTCTTATATGTGTATGGCCTTCTTAAAGACCCCGCCTCCTGTTTAGCATAACATATATGGTAACCCTCAGACATTGGATCCTCTCAAGATTGTATTCCCATCCAACCATAACCATGGGCACTCGAGGTGTATTTGTAGAGAAAACGAAACAATAAATGAAAACTTACCATTTCTGGGACGCAGACTGTATTCTAGGCTACATGGACCCTCCATCTGTATGTTTCATGGCATCTTCATATACCTTCCTGATCTATGCAACATGGCCTTTGCTTCACTTTCCTAAAGGGTGGTTCCCACACATCTTCCCCGAGACCCTCCACATCCAGCCTGATGCACATAGATGCCAGCATATGTATGTAAGGCCATATGCATATGTGTATGGAACCCATATGCAATAATGTATCCTCCTTGCTCTCTTGTGGCACACAGTGAGCCCAAGATATATCTGCTTGACTCTGCTAGTACGTAGATAATTCCAGCAGTGGGAATAGTAACACCCTTCATTACAGAAAAGACAGGAACACACACACACACACACACACACACACACACACACACACGGTACTAGGATGTCTCTGGTGAGGACTATGCTCCAGTTTAAGAGTGGCTTGAACCCAAATGAGCTTCTAATAAACATGCCCTGGATGGAGCTTGCAGAGAGCCCCCGTCCAGAGAATGTAGGATGCATCCCAACTGTGTCCAACCTTGGGAATACGAGTCCTTGATGGTCACTTTCATAGTTGCTAGCTGTGTCTTGCTTGGTTGGGACACAGTAACAATAGTTACAGGAAAAACCAGGCCTGCTGTCATCTGCAGGGACTGTCTAGAGGTAAGCAAGTGAGTTACTGAAGTCTATCAAACAGAACAAAGTTTTGATCCCTAAGGTTTGTGAAAGAGAAAAGAGAAGACTGGAGGTGACCACTTCAGAACGAAGATCTGTTTCCCCTGCACCACTATAGTCACAGCTGAGGTAAGTATTTCAGTTAGCTGTTTAAAGTAATGTGTAGGGCTGGAGAGATGGCTCAATGGTTAAGAGTACTGACTGCTCTCCCAGAAGTCCTGAGTTCAATTCCCAGCAACCACGTGGTGGCTCACAACCATCTGTAATGGAATCCGGTGCCCTCTTCTGGTGTGTCTGAAGACAGCTGCAGTGTACTCATATAACTAAAATAAATAAATCTTTTATTAAAAAAAAAAGTAATGTGTGTATCACCATGATAGCTACACTTGTTAGCTGAGTCTCACCCCAGGGTGAGAGACTCTGTAATAGGAGACCCAGATTGGCAGAAGATGGTGTCAGGTGCTGAGCAGGGATGATAATCCAGGTGAAGGAGACCACTCAGGGTCAGGGCAGCAGCACAGAGGCCTCCTGCTGGCAAGCTATCTCAGAACACAGCCTAGAAGGACATGGCTGCTGTATATCCTTCACACCCCTCCTTCTGTCCTAGCGACTCTCTCCTGCACCCCTTCCCAGCAGAAGGGGCCAGGGAGGGAACACGTACCTTTGGAAGCAGTGGGCAGCGCTAGCTACCCAGTTTTTGTCGATGAGAACCGCTCCACAGATGTGCCTGCCATATAAGCGCAGACTGGCCTGCCACGGCCACCGCTCAGCCTTGGCAATATTACCGCCGTAGATCTTCCCTTGGAATTTGGTCTTGCCACATACTGTGGAGACAATCCCAGCCGTGAGGCACCTGCATTCAGGATGCATGTGCTTGGTGCCCCAAATGTCAGCATCAGCAGGACCCAGGGGACCCAGTGGCCTCTCCTCTCTGTTCTCGGGTGGGCATACCCAAGGTCAGGAGTGGAGTGGCAAGGCTCACGTGACAAAGAGCACCCTGAATAACAGGGGAGGGATTGGATCAGACCAAGGCTTCCTCTGAGCAAGGCTTACAGAACAGAGGTAGGGGCAAAGAGGAGAGTGTTGCCGGGTTCTCCTCAGAACTCATTGACTTAAGGGAACACAGCTCTGAAGAGGCAGAAGCTGAAGCTGACAACGGCCATTATTTTTCAGGGCCGTGGTCATTTTGAGTGGGTATGCCCTCCCACCCCAACCCAGTGAAGACCGTGGTGCAGCGCTAAGAGAACCTGGACCCTGAACTGAGAAGATGAGGTCGGCGGGCAAGAGCCAGTAGAGGAGAGGGCCGTCTGTATAGGTCCCCACTCTCAAGCCCCTCCTTTTCAATGTAAAGGCCCTTAGGTTCTCCCAACTGCTTATGTTCCAGAGGGGGAGGAAAGGAGACAGAAGGGAAGGGGAAAGGAGGGAAGGAAAGGGAGGGGACACACCCACTGGGAACCTGCCTCCTATTTTAGAAGCCACTCTTGCTCCTGTCTCCTTACCCTCTGACAGGGATGGAGTGGACTTCATGGTCTGGGTGTTATTCTCAGCGCTGGTGTCACTGGTGGGTTCTGCGGCCTGGGCATGCTGGGACAGGAAGCTCAGTCCAAGCAGAGCAGCCAGCAGGCCGGCCCCATACCCACCCAGGCCCGATTGCTGGGCCCTGGCGCCCCACATGGCATCTGGCCGGCCTGTGTCTGGGTCTTGGGTAGGACCAAAAGCACGTGCAGACAACCGCTGACGCCAGCAAACTGCCTCTAGGGAACTCTCGCCCTCCCTCACGGAAGCTGAGCAAAAACCTAGATCCATGGTCCTCTTCTCAGGCTTTCACTGAAACAATTTTGAATGGGTGGGTGGGGGTAGCACCCACCACATCCCAGAGTTTCTCGTTCCTTTCTGTTACAGTATGCACTCAAGATACGAAGTGTCGTCACTCAGACTGGCATGTCACCGTCTCATCAGCCCCAAATCCACAGAGTCAGAAGCTAGTTACAGGTAATTGTGATCTGCCCAGTGTGGGTCTCTGGGAACCAAATGGGTCCCCTGGAAGAGCAGCAAGCGCTCTGAACTACTGACCTACTAACGCTCTCCTTCAATCAGCCTTAATTCCTTTCAAGAACTCTTATCCTTTTTCTCTCTCATTCATTCATTCATTCATTCATTCATTCATTCATTCATTCACGGAGTCTGATTAGTGTTGTCCATATGCATGTGGACACGGGTTTATCTGCTGGGACTTGAGGAAGTTACCAGTGGCCACTCCAAAATAAAAGTGACTCTCTTTCCCATGGTGGTCATTAACTGCCCAGCTCCTCGGCTAGAATTAGGTCTCAGCAGCTCCTCCCTCCCTTGTGTTGGAATTTGTAAATGGCTTGGTTTTGTGTATGTAACCACTACTGCTGTAAGTCGCAACTGTTTGTAAGCAGACCATTATGTGTTAGTTCCTTACCAGTGTATTTAATTTTGACCTAAGTGTCAAATCATTTTTAATTACAGGAAACTTAATTATATATGTATTATATGTAAGTTACATCTTTCACAAGTCTTATGATATTATGATATACTTTAATTTTCTAGTTTTGTCCTCATTTGTCTGTTTTAACTTTGGAACTTTTTTTTTTTTTTTTTACTTTTGTGACAACACTAATTTATAATCTGAAATCTTTTCTTATCCAAAAGCATCTTTTTACTTCAAACTTCTTAATCAAAAATATTTGCTCATATCGATAACTTTTTAAAAAGAATTATTTTATTATGTATATGAGGACACTGTAGCTGTCTTCAGACACACCAAAAAGAAAGGGCATTAGATCCCATTACAGATGGTTGTGTTGCTGGGAATTGAACTCAGGACCTTTGGAAGAGCAGTGAATGCTCTTAACCACTGAGCCATCTCTCCAGCCCCTATGCCTTTTTTTTTAAATCTCTTCTTCATATCCGATGTTTCCGGTTTTCAGTAGCACCAGGGAGAGAGGCAGTGCTCCACACCACTGCTCACACTCTGAGGGAGTCTCTTAATCTTTGGGGGACTTTAGTCTTTAGTAATTGAATTCTTAACTTTGCTGAAAAAAAAAAATTCAGCATAAGCCAGTATAAAGTCAAGTTTGAGTTTATAAGAAGAGATTTTAATTTAGACTTTAATATTAATTTAATTTTAACCATGAGGGCTAAGATTGAAAAAAAAAAAGATAATCAGCAAGAACGTGAGATGCAGGTGTGAGTTTCTCAAGATGGAGGCCGGCTTCATTGACTTCCGCTACTCATGTCGGCCATGTTGGCAGGAGGTGAGGCTAGACTCTCCAGACTTGATTCAGAATATAAACGTAATCCCAGGTTGCTCTCACAAAAACGCAGCTCACTGTGTGGAGGCTCGGGAGATGAGTAAGTCGGAGAAGGGGAAAGTTTGTGAGCTGCCAGAATTAATCTGTCTTTAGCAGTTAATAGTAATCTTTTTTTTTTTAATTTGGGAACTTCATTCTTTTCTTTTCGTGTATGATGAGTTCACTGTAGCTGTAGCTGTCTTCAAACACATCAGAAGAGGGCATCAAATCCCATTACAGATGGTTATGAGCCACCATGTGGTTGCTGGGAATTGAACTCAGGACCTTTGGAAGAGCAGTCAGTGCTCTTAACTGTTGAGCCATCTCTCCAGCCCAGTAATCTTAAGTTTTAGTCCAGAGGTGACATCAACATTCCAACATTCTTTATCGCACACAGAAAATCTGCTGATTCTCAAGGTGCCCAAGCAGCGAAGGTCCATTAAGCTCAAGGACCAGGTCAGGCAAAGCATGGCGTCATGTCTGTCACCGTCCCAAGGAGCTCGGCATAAGGCTTTGGATGAGGAGCCTTTCTCCCTGCATCTGGACCAACTGAGGGGTGCAACTTGCACTCCCAGGCTTTCTCCAGCCCGCCAGCCTTTTGTGTGCTTGGTCCGTGTTTGCGAGTACTGCGTTTGATCTTGTGGCTCTGAAGTTAGGTCACTTGCCTTCCTCCTGCCGAAGCGAATGTGAGTCACAGGAACTATCAGGCCCTTCTAGTTTGTTTGTTTGTTTGTTTTGTTCATTTGTTTTTCTGTGTAATAAGCCCTGGCTTTCCTGGACTGGGTTACTTTATAGACCAGGCTTGCCTTAAACACACAGAGATTCACTTGCTTCTATCTCCCCAGTACTGGGATTAAAGACATACACCACCACACCCAGCAAGGGCTTTTCTTTTTAAATAATAAAAAAGATTTCATTTTTTTTTAACTATGTATTTACGTGTATGGATATGTGCTAGTGACCACAGAGACCAGAGGAAGTGTGGGGTCCCTTGGGGCTGGAGTTACAGGTAATCACCAACATGGGTGCTGGGAAGTGCACTAGGGTTCTCTGGAAGAGCAGCAGCTCTTTTACCCCCACCCAGACCCCAGACTTCAGCCCTAGTGTCTGGCCTTTCTCAAACTCTTTCAAATACAGCCTTCCATTAGAATTTTTCCTCTGATCTTTTTTTTAAGATATATTTATTTTATCTTTATGAGTGTGTTGCCTGAATACATGTAAGTGGACTATGTGTATTTCTGGTGCCCATGAAGGTCTAAAGAACAGGGTAACCCAAATCCCTTAGAGCTGAAGTTAGAGACCATTGTAAGTTTCCATTGGGTGCTGAGATTTGAACTTGGGTCTTCTGAGAGTAGCTGGGTCTCTCAACTATTGAGCCATGTCTCTAGGACTTTCTCCTCATCTTTTACTCTTGTTTAAATTCACTGGCCTTGAGAATGAGCCATTTTAAGCTTTAGTCTGACACTGGCCTCTTATGTTAGGCTCTTGGGGTGGACTGCAGTCTGGAGTCAATTCTGCCTTCACCAAACAGATCCTGATAGTGAAGCTGGGAATGAATCACACAAGGAGGAATTAAGACGAATTGTGGGATAATGGTGTAAAAGGAATGAAGGGTAGTGCATTACCCCGAAGAAGGGAACTGGGGTCTTGAGAATCCAGGGACATTTCAGAAGAAGAGTTAACTGAGCGAGGAAATAACTGTGCAGATGATTAAAGAGAGAGCAATGCCCCGAGGGTGAGAAGGGTTCTCCACCATGTAAGGGATGAAAAGGACTGAGGCAGCTGGAGCAGAGAGCACCAAAGAGGAAGCAGGAGGGATGAGAACGGGGATACTGGGCCATGTGCATAGAAGATGCTTCATGTGGTCCTCAGCTTTTATCCCTGTGACAAAATCCTTAGCAAAGCAAAGGTTTATTCTGACATATAGTTTCAGGGATTTCAGTCCATGGTCACTTGGCTGGGTTGCTTTGGGCCTGTTGGGGTAGAGTATATCACGTGGATTTGATATAGGCTATAAAATAGTGGTGAATTTACAGAAACACAGGGAGGGAGAGTCCCCTGCTTTGTAGTCTAGGTGAAGCCTCTGGCCATTAGAAAAAATCAAGAGTGTGATCATGAGTAACATTGTCTCTAAACGGTGATGACACTGACAATACTTCTTAAATACACATTTTCAAATAAAAATATTTAAATAGGAATAAGCCAGGCTGGCAGCCTGCACATATATAACTTAGGGTAAGGTCTTTCTCCTTTTCTAAATATTTTCTGGGAATCCTGCAAACAGGACTATTAACATTTGTTTACAGTGAAGATATCCTATCTTCTTCCATCTCTGATCTAGGGTTGACCTTATCAACTGCAGTCCTGTCCTAGTACCCCAGGAGCCACCCTTTCATCTGACTGAAAGTCTTTAGCAAGTCTTAGATAATAACTTTAGAATCTGCCCATATCTAGTGACTACTGCAAAGACAACAAAGCGTGTCTCCTTTGAGAAGCCCACACCTGTGTTCTCAGGTACATCTCTCCATTAACATCCTACACTTAAACCTATGTGAAAATTCCCTCAAACTCCATTACTGCTTCAGAATGGCTTACCCTGAGGTTCCATTCTGCAAGGAAGTCAAGGGCCTGGGTTTATCTGAGTAGAGGCCTCTGAACTCCTCAGACTGCTCCATGAAGTGGTCATACAGCAGTATGAAGAGGTCATGCAGCAGTGTGAAGAGGTCATGCAGCAGTGTGACACAGTCATGCAGCACTGTGAAGTGGTCATGCAGCAGTGTGACATAGCCATGCTGCAGTGTGACACAGCCATGGAGCAGTGTGACACAGTAATGCAGCAGTGTGAAGTGGTCATGCAACAGTGTGAAGTGGTCATACAGCAGTGTGAACAGGTCATGTAGCAGTGTGAACAGGTCATGTAGCAGTGTGAAGTGGTCATGCAGCAGTGTGAAGTGGTCATGCAGCAGTATAGAGCAATCGTGCAGCAGTGTGAAGTGGTCATGCAGCAGTGTGAAGTGGTCATGCAGCAGTGTGAAGTGGTCATGCAGCAGTGTGAAGTGGTCATGCAGCAGTGTGAAGCATTGTTGCTGGCTTGTGCCCATCACTGCTGACAGGTATGTTACTCTGTACTAGCTAGGAAACAAAGCAAGAGAGGAAGAAGTGCTTCCATCTCTTCCCCGGGCACATTACAAACGCCCTAACCTCCTCCCCAGTAGATCCTACCTCATGCAGGTTTCACCACCTTCTGACAATGCACAGACTTGGATCCATGCCCTTAACACATAAGGCTCTCACGTGCACTTCACCTATAAATTCCAGCAACTTTGATTGTTTTAACCACACTGAAAAAAAAAAGTAGAAATT